CTTACTTACTTACTTACTTACACTTGGGTTGTTACCGACATCTGGTGAAAATTTCATGTCATTAGCACCTCTAGTAATATATTTACTGAGAAAAATGGTGACGTGTTCAATACTTATTTTACCCGCTGTATATTAATTTTCAATTCTGAAATGCAGGTACACTCTCAATGTAAACAAAGCCCTTTTGTCTGCGGAATTTACTCAACAGATTTGAGTTAAATGCACCAAAGCTGTCACCCTGGATCATCCAGAAACATTGTCAGTGTTGACCCATTTTTAGTCCATTCAGCTGTTTTCAAATGTAAACAAATGTGTGGGTAATTCTGGCGACACATTTGGCTCAAGTTTTTAGTTTAGGACACAGTGACCATGAATGTATGAGACAAAATATTTACATTTCTTGAATTGTTTGATTAGCTTTGAGCTCTATTTCGCCAAACTGAACCCTACTTGAAAACTGCTGAACTGTCCCTTTACAGCGCAGACATCCTGCCTTTTGTCCCACGTTAAAACCATTCATAAAATAATGGCCCACACTGGTTCCGGTGCTGACGGGGTCTCAAACTGCACTTTGAACGAACTGAAACGATGCGACCAGTCCGGGAATGTCTGCAGCTCAGACACAGAAAAACAAGTCGCGGGTTTATTGTTACCCTGAACAGAGTCTCGCCTTGACTGTCCTGTAGCGGGTCCGGTGCAGGACGTGGACAAACAGGCGATGTTTTTTTGGGGGGGTCTTCTTACCGTTTTGTAGGTCGAGTCTGGAGCGGAAGGTGGGGAGGGTGTACCCCGCTGCAGGTGCAGGACAGCCGGGGTAGAGATGCGCGGATGCTCCTTCCCTGTGCCTCCGGAGCTCCGGGATGAATAACCTTGTAAAAGCGGATCTCTTTGTGGTTTGACCCTCGCGCTCTCTCTCTCTCTTACGAACACGCACACAAACACACACTCACCGTGCCTCACACAGCCTCACACCCTCCCCTGCTGAGCTAAAGCAGCCGGACCTCGCAGAGCATGTCAGGGTGCAGCCGTGATGCTGCTGCTGCTGCGGGATGCTTTCCTCTCCTCCTCAGGCGGACACCGGGACAGCTCTCTGGGTTTAAGTGATGTTCGCCCGGAGTGGATTTAAGAGAGGGGTGGGGGTGAGGGATTACGTGGTAGGGGTTTAATTAGATAGCCCTGCGCCCATTGGCACAGCCGATGCGCACAGCCCTCCCACCCCTTCTCGCGCTTCACTGGGTGGATGTGTGGCTCCGTGGGTCACAAACACACTGACTCATTTCTGTCCTGCTGGAGAAGGAGCAGTTAAACAGCAACAAAACACCCCACACTGAAGCTGTCATTCAGCTGGGGTTTGTTTTCCACACATGCTCCTCTTGGACACTTTTGTCACACTGTAATAAATCACATTTTAACCCCTCCCATGACCAGATAAAATACCCCCTGAACCAGGGCCGTTGTTAGACATAGAGTGTCATGGGCTCAGAGTAACAGCTTGAGGTGTATAGTAACTAAACACATTTACTTTGTTATAATAGCTTAAGGCTGTATTCAGACCAGGAAAGTCCTTTGGTCCAVTTGTTTGGTCCGGACCAAAAATGGACTTTTTTTTTTTCGTTTGGTGCGGTTTGCATTTACATTGTGCTTTTTTGCAAATGAACTATAACTTGTAAACAAAGCCATGAGGCTGACGATCATTGCTCCCATTGGACAAAAAAGGACGGGGGCGGGACTGAGCCACAGACCCAGAAGAAAACAAGGAAGTCCTGCATGCTGCGGTTCTGATGCGCACATTTTTGCTGATAGTACAACTGCAATAGCATTTAAAATGTCAGAAGCAGCTAATTTATTGGTGGTTTCGTGATGATATTCTAATTTTGGAGCGGCGTCAGTAAATGTGTCCCGCGACCCAAAGGAGACGAGGTGCGCTGCGTGTTCTGACCCACAACATGCTGCCATCAGAGCTGCTAACAGGAGACGACGAAACAGGTATGATTTCAGTTTATTTAGCTCAGCAACGGTGGCCTGTGAAGTCCAAAAAGGTGCATGTTTAATGCAGTTGGTTCGGTTAGAGTCCGGTCTTTATTCACACCAGAAGCAAACTGAAGTGAACCGCACCAGAGTTCATTTGGAAGCGGACCGAGACCACCTCAAAAAGCAGGTCTCGGTCCGGTTGTTTGATCCGCACCAGAGTTCATGCACAAAAGGTCCGGACCAACGCTGGAAACGAACTCTGGTTCATTTAAAGCGGACCAAATTATCAGGTCTGAATACGACCTAAGTAATTATTTTGAGGATTTGTAATTTTATCAAGTGTTTTATTATCTTTATATTTTATTTTGTTAGATTCAAAACATAAAATTGACACTTATGCTCATTTACTTTAAAATTCAACACAAATTTTAATATAACCAGAGCTCATCATGAAAGGAGTTTATGCACTCTAAAAAAATGAAGTGTTGAATTTGCTCAACTAAGTTATGTCAACCGGTTCCACTAAACTGAGTTGAGTAAATGTATAGCAGTTTAAATATAAAAATAAAATGTAAAAATTTGAATTGGTTTAATGGAACTAAAAGCTCCTGCGTACGCCCTCTGAAGCCGAACAATCAATGAGCAGTCACGTGATTTTTCAGCGTTGGTTTAGTCCCTGAGACACCACATGCCGCTGCAGCATACATCACTACCCAATTCCATGTTTAACAGTGATTGCATTGTCTGTCTTTGTCTTGGTTACTTTTAAACTGTTATCATTAGCTTCAGTTCTGGTCAGATCTAACACAGTCTCACTCCCGACTCGTCACATATTGACGCTTTTCCAAGGTTCCCTTTGCGTCTTATTTTGACGCTTCAGGTACATCCGTCGCATCAGTTATTGATGCACCAGGAATTTCCGGGTTCCCTCGGAGTCCGATTTTGACTCATTGGGATGCAAAATGTAGGGGTCTTTGAGATGGGGTTCGTGGTTAACATTAGGGATCAGGGTTCATGGTTAATTTTAGATAGTGGGGTCAGGGATGTCTGGGGCAAATATTAGGTAATTTTGGGGTTTGGGACATGTAGTTGATGTGAATTTCCTACACTTTCTAAAATTGGTTAATGGGCTGATGGTTAATTTTACGAACTAGGACCAGGGACAGGATGTCGAGTGAGTAAAGGTAATTTTAGACTTTGGGACGGTTAGTTTTTGTGCATTTTCCACATTTTCTGAAATTGTGACAATGGATTCCGCCCCATCTCGTCAATAACTGACGCAAGGGGTACCTGACGCGTCTAAATTGGATGCAGAGGGAACCTTGGAAAAGCGTCAATATGTGACGACTTGGGAGTGAGATGGTTCACAATGAAGTAAAGATCAAAGATTCTCACTCGTGAGTGACATTTTTTCTTTTTTTCTTCTGTTGTTACATTGGTAACACATAACTTTTCCTCCTTTTTTACATTTGTATAAACATACATTTTCTCTGCCAGCAGTGGTAGAGAAGAAGACTATAAGATGAGATGTGTTGTGACTGGCAAACATGTGCACAGAAAAGAAGGGGTGCTTATAAAAATAGTTTAACTTTCTACCTACTTAGCAAAAATGCCAGTGTTAATTTAACACCCACAGTGTTAAGTTTAACACCAACAAAGTGTCTATATGTGTCCACACTCGCTGGTGTTAAAATAACAATTATGAAAGTGTTAAATTTTAACACTCACTTTTTTTTGTTAATTTAACACCAACTGGTATTCAATATTCAGCCATTCTTGGTGTCACATTAACAAAAAATAGTGTAAGTGTTAAAATAAAGTGTTAAAATTAACACCAGTGTATTATTATTAGCAAAGGAAATTGTGGTGTTTGAAAGGTTAACAAACACCACAAGGTGTCAATACATCATCAAACTGAGTGCAAATTCAACACTCAGGGTTAATAAAATCACTGTAGTATAATGGAGTCACCCTTCACACACCAGGACATACCTTTCAGTCATGGTGTCGATTTTTGGCAAATAACATAAACTTAAAGTTGAACAACTTGATCAAACTGAACAAGAAAACTAACCAGAACAACTCATGAACGCCTTTAATAATCATAAACATGCAAAAACATCATTTCTGCAAGATTTCTCAGCAAGGAATGCTGGGTAAATACTGATCTGTCTGACATGAGGTGGAAGAGGGCGGGGCTTTTCCATAAAACTTCTTTCAACACTGCATGGTGTTATATAGCTACACTGTTAAGTGTTATTTAAGACTTAACTGTGGGCGGAGCTTATTTGACACTGTACAGCAGGGGTGTCAAACTCCTGTCCTCGAGGGCCGCTATCCTGCATGTTTTAGAGGTTTTCTTGCTCCAACACACCTGATTTTGATCGCTGGGTGATTAACAGGCTTCTGCCCAATTTGAAGAGTTAATTCAATCACTGAATCAGGTGTGTTGGAGCTGGAAAACCTCTAAAACATGCAGGATAGCGGCCCTCGAGGACTGGAGTTTGACACCCCTGCTGTACAGTGTTGAGACAACACTGAGGAAATCAACACTGTGAATTCACACCAACACTGAGTGTGACTGTACTCAGAAAGTGTTAAAATAACATTAGGGGGTGTTAAACCAACACCCAAAAGTTTAACACTGATTCCAGTCTTTGTGACTTTTGGTTTTTAATGACACATGCATGACAGGTCAGTCTCAAGCATGAAAGCTGTGACATCATGAATACACAAAACTTTTTTTGGACTGAGGATGACGTTGGTTTGTTCCCACATATTAAAAAGGTTGAGCAGCACAAACAGCCCTCTGCTATCCAGCATTGTTACAGTTGTTCACCTACTTGCACAAGTGCAGAAAAACTATCGACTGCAGCCATTCATAGCGCACACTGATGGTTGCACATCTCTATGTTGGGGTTAGAAGTGGCTGTTAAAACCTCAGCTCTGAGACCTGTATTTGAAAAGTTTTGGTGTCAGAATTGCAACAGAAAAGCTACGGTTTCACTCAAAAGTGTAAATGGACTTTAGCTTTTCCATTATGTACCCCATAGGTACCCCATAAGTATCACTCACATAATTACCTTGTCAATAGTCTGTAATTATGCTTTATGTACCATAGTGAGTAAACTGTAGTACCACGTTTGTCACAATGTCCCTGTTGTCAACATTGAATTTTCAGTGAAACTACAGATCTTCTGTACATTTACAAAACAAAAGTGAGTGATTTCTCTGACAACGAAGCTTTTTGATTTCAGGTCTCTGAGTGGAGTTTTTTGGTTCCCCCTGCACCAAGCATCAACATGAAATCCTGCATGCACACTACACACATCTGTAGTGAATAGTTTCTCTGGTTTCATCTCAATCGTGATTGCAGTCACAGTGTTACCATCAGAAATGTTTCCAGAAGATTGGTCAACATGGTCTATGATACAGTTCTCTGTGAGGCCATGCTGGATCTTCATCTCAAAAGCCTTCCAATAAAAAAATTGTATTTTTTAAATATTTTATCACAGGAAGCTGGACATCTTCGTTCTGGAATCAATATTTTTTGCTTTGCAAATTTGCATACAAGTTTACCAAATGTGACCAACAAATACTGGGGCACTTTGGATTTATGTGTAAACTGGGTCTGGGGATGTCTGCAAACAATCTGAATCTTTTGAATGCCTTCTTACAATGAAGGATAGGAACTATAGGGGTGTACTCACACCTGACACATTTGTTCCACTTTAAATGGACCAGGGTTAGTTTCCAGTGTTGATCTGGACCTTTTGTGCAGGTGTGAATACACTGCAGAAGGACCAAAGAGCTGCACGTGGCATTATTTATTTATTTATTTATTTATTTATTTATTTATTTATTTATTTATTTATTTGTTTATTTATTTATTTATCTTTCTTTCCTTTGGGATCAGCTGTAGAGCTGTTCTGTCCTGAGTTTAATAAACACAGAAATGATTACAACGCGGACAATTTTACGGACACTGACCTTTAAAAAATTTCTATTATTTCCAGCATTTCTATACTGTTTTGAAAATAAACTAATTTTCAACCAATTATTTGTTTGGATTAAAAAAAACTCAGGCAAGACAGGTGATTTTTTTAATTTTATTTTGTAATTTATCCTTA